CCCCAAGACACAGTTTATTACTTGGCTCCTGATGAGGAATAGGCTTCAAACTAAAGAGAGATTAGCCAAGTATATGGCTATTGATCAGGACTGCTCCTTGTGTGGTCTTACTAAGGAAATGCTGAGCACTTGTTCTGGGAATGTGGAGTAGCCCAAAGAATCCTAACATCCTGTTTCTCTAAATTTGGCTTCCAGCAGCAGGTGGTACTGGGCAATTTTTAGGAGTTGGAAACTGCTTTACAAAGGGCAGGTCCGAGAAAATATAAGCAACAATTCAAAGCAATTTGGGCTGGGTGCATATATGGTATTTGGAAGATGAGAAACCAGATCTGCCACCACAAGATCTGCAAGGAAGAAGAGATTATTGAATATATTTGCTCCTATGTACAGAGTTATTTTATTTACAAGAAAGTGATATAATCTGTTGTAGGTTCTTTTGAATTGATTGAAGTGAAATGGAAAGGTGTGTATTTGTGCAAAAAAAGAATATTTTATTCTATCAAATAATCAATGAAAATGCAAGCAAAAAAAAAGTTTTCTTGATTTTTAAATAGTGGAGTGTTGCTTATATTTTGGGGACGGAGAGATTATATATATTATGAATGAAATTTTTGAAATATCATGTGTAACAAATTTCTCAAATCAAATCAATAAAAATCCCACAAAAGTTTCTGTTCATCCAACCAAGGTAGTGGATAAAAATAAAAGTAATTTACATATATAACAGTAAAAGACACCACTTTTCCCTAAATAGGAGTACTCCTATTTGAATTACCGTATAGTGCTACAAAATTTACAAAATTACAAAAATATCCCATGAGAAAAACCTCCCACCGTTTTTTCCTCAAACAAGTGAGGCTATAATTTAGGGAATGACCATAGAAATAGTAAAAAACCCATTATCCGATTACTTATCTAATTTAAAATAGAATTAATTATATTAAATTTACATAATAACTAAAAATATTTATTTTCATAATTAACGATCAAAATGTGTAAAATTTATCTTGAAAAGTTAAACTATAAAAACATTTAAGATGAAGGAAAAGTTAAACTATAAAAACATTTAAGATGAAGGAGTATATGATAATTTTTGGAATTTCATGAGAAGACAATGTCTTAAGCATTAATTTTTTGTAATATACAATTAGACAAGGGTAAATATATTTGCTCGTTGATGATGTTCACAAAAAAAGTCATTATGTGTATGACCTTTAAGATGAAAATATAAAGAGTGTGTGTAAACATTGCATATGAAGACATTAAGCTATACACACAATATTGTTTTAAAACATTATTGCCTTGAAACATGCACATATGACCTTTTGATATGATGTATATAAGGTCATTCGCTCAAGACGTTTTGATGTACAATATGTTGTAATATGCAACTAGGCAAGAGCAAACATATTCCATGGCTATTGAAATTCACAAAATAAAGTCATTATGCATATGAATTTAAGGAGAAAATATAGAGAACAATGTAAACAATGCATATGAGGACATTAAGTAATATACAAACATATTAAAATCATCCAAGACATTATTGCCTTGAGACATTATTGTCATTCACACACAACATTTAGATAATGTATAAGGTCATTGTGAATATGAGTAAAAAGGTAAAACATTCACACATGCCATTTTTCATGGTGTATAAGGTCATTGTGAATATGAGTAAAAGGGTAAGTAGAAATGTAGAATTTATCTACAAATAAGATTTAAACATAATAACTTTTTCAAAATAGGACCATATATTTTTATTTTTCAATGTAAGATTATATATTGGTCATTATCCATTAGTCATTATTCAAGTAAATGTCTATCATCACTAGATAGTATTAATTCCGCCCACTAGACATTATTAAGTACTATTTAGGTAATAAAAAATTTTAAGTGTTACATTAGGAAATGACTTATGTTTTAGTCTTATTTAGTACTCCCTTTGTTCTCAAAAACACTTCCTCTTTCATTTTTTTCACTTCGAACAAAACACTTCCAGTTTTTATTAAAAAACCATTTTTACCCTTACTTTTTCATACCCTACCTATCACATCATACTTTTTCTTTAATTATCTACCTATCACATCTTACTTTTACCTATCACATCAAGGGCAAAATTGGAAGTCAACTATAATTTTGCACTTCCTTATTTTGGCTCCAAGTCAAACTAGGAAGCCTTTTTGCAAACGGACGGAGTATAAATTTTACAAAGGGTTATACGAAGAAATTTAAAAAAAATAAGGGCCTAGAGTAAAAAATGTGTAGTTCTCTTATAATATAGCAACAGAAATATTCTTTAAAAAAAATTAAAAAAGTAAAGAAAATATTTTTAAAATCACAAGATAAGAAATATGAGGAACAATATACGGAGTAATGATTACCTAAAAAATAGGAGAAGTTATAATTAATTGTCCTCTAAATAAGAAAAGAGAATCCTATTAAATATGGAAGCTAAACAAACGGAATTGAGAAAAGTATGTCTAACCGTCTAAAGGGCAAAGATGGCTACACGGGACAAAATAAGTCTTAAACAAAGAAAAAATCATAAAAAGTCTTATTTAGGGAAACATATCATCTTTTAGTCCTATTAAAAACAAATTTTACTAAAAATAATTAGTGGCCTACTCACAGTATTTTAAATGCATGATATAAAAAAGAAAACCAAATCATGAGTAGCCTAGATACTCATGAGAACTTAGAAGTGTAAGGAAAAACCTGTTGGCTAATTATCGAGTAGGATTAGAATTATGGGTCCTAGACTTAATTAGCTCTATATATATATATCTTAGCCAAGCTTGGGTTATGATATGAAAAACATATGAGAAACATATGAGAAACATATATAAGAGTTTATTGTAATTGGTTTTGAGTAATTTTCCAGTTATAATAAAGAGATTGTTTCCAACAAAACCAACATGAAGCTTGAAAGGTCCATATCATCTACATGAACTGATGTATGTATCCGAAAATTCTACAGATTCCCTAACTTATTCACAAACTAATTAATGCATCGAGCTGAGAGAGTAAACTTGCCCCATTTATATGCATAGTATCTTTGGGTTCTTATCCTGGGATTATACTGGCATGGGTCTGTTGACTGTTGTTGTCTCTTTTGCAGTATTGCTTGTGGATGCATGAAGTAAAAAAGTTAATGCAAAAACTGAAATATAGAAGATGAAAATTTTGTTGTGGGTCCAGCCCATTTTGTTTGGGTTCCATTTTTCTTTGGTGGAGGCCCAATTATGTTTTTCCTTGGTTGACTAACAAAAGGAAGGAAGTAAAAGGGCTGGGCAGTGCTGGACTTACGGACAGAGCAGAGAGAAAAAAACAGAATAGAGAGAGCGAGAAGGGCTGGTGCAGAATTTTCAGACCAGCCGCACAAATTCGATCATCGCCGGAGATCCGACCGTTGGATTGAGCTGAAATCTTCAGAGGTTGTTCCCAACACTTAAGGCTTCAGTCTGTTCAATTTTCACATCAATCGGAGCTACGGATCTTCTGTAATCGCAGCTGGTGCGACGCTGCGTTTTTTGGGTGATAATCCTGATTTTCCTTCTCTATTGTTGATGCATCTTATGTATGTTGTTGTTGGTGGGCTGTGACATCCTTGTAGACTGAGTTCTGGGTGTTTTTATCCTCAATTTGCATAATAAGAGAAGAAGAGGGCGGACTCCCTATAAGTCCCGTGGTTTTTATCCTTCACATCGAAGGGGTTTTCCACGTATAAAAATCGTGTGTCGTTTGCATCTTTATTCTTCATATTTGGTTGTGGTTTATTTGATGTGCTGCTGATTTTGTGTGCTTGGTTAATCAATTGTGGTGAATTGGGTTAAGTGTTTGGTTGGTTGTCTTGAAGTTGTTCCTTGTAGGTGTCGTATCCTACTCGTTGCTTCTCCCCCAACATTTGGTATCAGAGCAAAAGGTTTAAACCGTAGATATGGAGTCAGGAAATCATTCTATGGTTAAATTGACATCAACCAATTATTCCATTTGGCGTCCTATGATGGAAGATTTGTTATATTGTAAAGATTTGTTTGACCCAATTGATGTGGATAAAACCAAGAAGGATGACATGCCCACTAAACCAGAGAAGATGACGGATAAAGAATGGGAAAAACTGAAGAGAAAGACCTTGGGGACTATTAGACAGTGGATTGATATTAGCATATTCAATCATGTATCCCAAGAGACTGAGCCACTCGAGTTGTGGAGAAAATTGGAGGGTCTTTATGAGAGAAAGACTGCTCATAACAAGGCCTCGTTGATTAAGAGGCTTGTTAGTCTCAAGTTGAAGCCGGGAAAATCTGTTTCTGAGCATCTTAGTGACTTTCAAGATATCATTAACAAGTTGACTGTGATGAAAATTGTTTTTGATGATGAGTTGCAGGCTTTATTCCTATTGAGTTCTTTGCCAGATAGTTGGGAGACTTTGGTTGTGTCTATCAGCAACTCAGCTCCAGATGGTGTGCTTTCATTGGATGTCATTAAAGAGAGCATGTTCAATGAAGAGCTTAGAAGAAAGGAGATGGGTGTTGACA